AATCCCAGAGTCTTGACCCTGTCTCTGACTGTTCCTCCCAGTCATGTTGGAGTTTTTCTAGACTATGGGGCTCACACGTTCTCATTTTATGATGTTTCCAACCATGGGGTTCTCATCTACAGATTCTCTGTAAATTCCTTTCCTGATAAAGTTTTTCCATATTTTAATCCTATGTGATGCTCAGAGCTGATGTCCATATGCTGGCTGGACTGAGCAGGGCCTCTGGCCCTGGAGTTGATCTCATATCCATGAGCTTATTGGCATCTTTTTAACTTTCATTTTGTTGTTGTTAATCTTTCCCTTTGAATATCCTTCACTTGTAAATAGGATATATACATTTCCTTGTGCAATGTTCTTCTCAATTCCTTGTTTCTTTAGGAGAGAATACTCCATCATTGACCAAATACCCAGGTATAATGACTGCTTCTTTGTTAAATGAGGCAACACATCCATGAAACTTCTTTATTCTTTTCCCCTCCCTCCCTCCTTCCTTCCTTCTTTTCTTTTCTTTTTTTTCTCTTCCTTTGTTTTTTTCTCTCTCTCACACACATAACACATTGTGGTGGTTTGAATGAAAATGTTCCCCATAGGCTCCAAGTGTTTGGACATTTTGTCCCCAGATGGATGGTGCTGTTTGGGAGGTTTTGGAAGGTGCGGCTATCCTGGAGGAAGCATGTCACTGGGGGTGGGCTCACAGAGCTCTTAAGCCTTGCCAGATCTCCAATTGCTTCCTGTGCCTGTGTGATGATGTGAGAGCTTAGCTTCTGCTGCTCCTGCTCCAGCCACCTCCTGCCACCATGCCTCCCTGCCATGACGGACTGTAATTCCCCTGGAACCATAGGCTCAAATAAACTCTTTCTTCTTTAAATTGCTTTGGTCAGTGTTTCTATCACAGCAACAGAAAAGTGACTAATACACACATGCATAAAAATCTTTAAAAAAAAAAACCAATAATCAGAGAAATTTGAATAATCGTGACTAATGACATAGTCATGGTCATAGCTTATTTGGAGATGTAGCAAAAGGCATAAAAAGAGTTTTATTAGGGGCTGGAGAGATGACTTAGTGGTTATGAACATTGACTTCTCTTGCAAAGGACCCAGGTTTGGTTTTCAGTAAGCACATGGAGGCCAACAGTCATCTATAACTCCAGTTCCAAGGGACCTGACACCCTCTTGTGACCTCTGCAGGCATTGCATGCATGATGCACACTTAACATATATTTAGGTAGAACACTCATGCACAAAAAATGAAATAAAAATAAATAAAGCTTTAAAAAATATTTATTTATATCTGGACTGGAGAGAGGGCTCAACAGTTAAGAGCACTGACTGCTCTTGCAGAAGACCTGGATTTGAATCCCAGCACCCACGTGGTAGCTAACAACCATCTGTAACTCCAGTTTCAGGGGATCCAATGCCCTCTTCTGACCTCCATGGGCACTGCAGGACAGGAATGCACTTACACACATGCAGACATAACACTCATACACATAAAATAAAAATAAAAAATTTTATTTATTATTTATTTTAAGGGAGTCTTTTTTTTTTTTTTTTTTTTTAAATAGGGTCTCCCTCTAGCCTCAGCTGGCCTGGAACTTGCTATGTAGACCAGGCTGGCCTTGGACTCACAGAGATCCACCTGCCTCTGCCTCCCAAGTGCTGGGATTAAAGGTGTGTGCCACCACACCTGGCTCTTTTATTTTTTTATTGTATGAATGTTATGCCTGTTTATATGTAAGTAGTAAGTGCACCTGTGTTATACAGTGCCCACAGAAGAGGGCATCAGATCCTCTGGAACTGGAGTTGCAAAAAGTTGTTAGCTGTCATATGATTGCTGGGAACCAAACCCAGGTCCTTCGCAAGAACAGCTTAACCACTGAGCCATCTCTCCAGCCTCTTATTTATTATTTTTATTTTATGTGTATGGAGTTACAGACAGTTGTTAGCCACCATGTTGTGCATGAGGAGGTCAGAAGAGGGCATTGAATTCCCCTGGACCTGAAGTTATGGACAGTTGTTAGCCACTATGTGGGTAATGGAAATCTAATCTGGCTCCTCTGCAAGAGCAGTCAGTGCTCTTAACCACTGAGTCACCTCTCCAGCCCTATAAATAAATCAATTTTTTTTCTCTTTTTCCTTTCTTGGTCTTTTTGAGACAGGGTCTTCCTGTAGCCCCAGCTGGCCTGAAACTCACTATGTATACCAGGCTGGTGTTGAACTCAGAGAGGTCCACTTGCCTTTGCCTCCCGAATACTGGGATTAAAGGTGTATGCCACCATGCCTGGCTATAAATCGATCTTTAAAAAAGAGAAGAAAAAGATGTCATTTGTGTGTGAAATACACAAAAATTCAATTTCATAATTTCTTTTTAAATGGTAAAGACCAAAAGGAAAAAAGAAAAAAAAAAAAAAAAGTCTGTCTGTCGACTGGTGGGGCAGGATTATATCCCTCACTCCTGCTGAACTAAATTAATTAAGTTTTTTAACGTCCTTCTTTATGTGAGAGCTTTGTCACAGGTTATGAGGGGGGTGCAAGCCTTCAGTTCTGCCGATCGGGCAGAAAGACATGAAATCAGTTTTGTTATTCTAAACTTGGGGCCTATCATCAGAAAACAGAAGTATTGGGGGGGGGGGTTATGGTGGGAAACCTGTCATTCCAGCTCTCTGAGGCTAGACAGGAGGATCAGGAGTTAGAGGCCACTTCAGCAAAAACAAAACAAAAGAACTATTGATGGTCGGTCAAGTGATAACTCCGTGGGGTAGAATAGGCAGCTTTTACTGCATGATGCTGAAAGTTGATATGGGCTTGATGAGCTTTGAGGCACACGAGACCTTTCTTGGCCCAGGGGGATGGGAACCAGGGACTCAAGGTGCGGACACAATGGTCACCGTCAATCTGAGACAGCGGGTCTCTAGTTTGTTGTGTCACAATCATGATAATTAAAGATGCAGACTCATGGGTACAAGCACAGCAGAAACAAAGTTTATTAACGAGAATTAAGGAAAAGTGAGAAATTGAGAGAAAGTGAGAGAGACTCCTGAAAGACCTAAGTGTTCCCAAGAGGAAAAACTGTCGGCTGCTTGTCAGGGCTTTTTGATAGGACTTAGGGCAAAAACTGGACAAAGACTGAGTTCATTTCTACTGAGATTAGTAATTTTGAGTGTATCACATGGAGCCAGTGGGGGCTACACATGCCTTGTGCATGTCCTTTGGCACAACTAAGAAGGCAATTATGTGCTGTTCATGGGCTCCTCACCCAGAATCCACATAGTGCAAGGAAAGAACAGACTCACACAAGTTGTCTCTAACCTCCACATGTGTGCAATGGCATGCACACACCCACTCACATATATACATACATACATATACACACTAAATAATCAACTTTAAAAACACTTTAAAACTCGGGGGCTGGGAAGATGGCTTAGCAGTTAAGAGCACTGGCTGCTCTTGCAGAAGGCCTGGGTTTGGTTTTCAGCACCCACATGACAGCTACCATCTGTAGCTCCAGTTCCAGGGAAATCCAACGCCACCTTCTGACCTGAGTGGGCATTGCACGACACAGGTGCACTTGCGTATATGCAGGTAATACACTCATACACATAAAAAAAGTAAAAAAAAAAAAAAAATA